CCGCCCGGCTTTGCAGAGCGGAGGGCCGGCGTCTCCGGTTGAGAGGAGCACATGCAAAACGGGTCAGGCGCCACTCCGCTTATCGGCCGATCTCGTGCGAGCGTCTGCTAAGGGCTCTGCCCTTCTGCCCCGGTCACCGGTCACCGCCCTCGGAACCCCGCGCCTGGACGTTGGAGCCAGCCCGGCCCCCGCCGCCGGAAGGTCACGGCCGCGGGAGCCCTGGAGGCGGCGGCCCAGCAAGGAGCTGCAGCGCCGGGTAAGTCCCTGCATGCGCCTTCCGTGTGCCCAACTCTTTGATTTACCCGACTTTCCTTTCCCTCACACCGGGCCTCTCTGATTTCACAATTGTTTTTCCTAACCGAGATAGGCAGATTATGTTCTGGGATTTCAAGGCTTTCTTTTCATTAGTTTAGTTTTGGGTAGCTTCACTTGTCTTATCCCACAGCTGCCTGTTACCAAATAGTATGAATGAATGATGCAATCTTGCATAGAAGAATCATCAGGACCAGCTTTGGAAAGTCCCCCAAATTTAGAGTGGAGGTGTCTGACTTTGTCATCTTCTTTCCCATTAGAATTAGAATTTTAAAATAAGTATTTACCAGATATATTGTTATAGTGATACAGCTTCAAGTTGGGAACTAAATAAATAATGCATACATTTAATGTATTTACTATGCTTTCTCTGTATGTGATTTGCATATTATAGTTACTCTTTGCATATTTGATGATTGGTCTTGGAATGAGGATCAGGAAAGAAAATAATAAAATTCAAGATTTCTCTGTTACAGTTGTCAGGTAGGTTTCAGTATAATGAACATAGTCCTGTCACTTTCATGTTGGTGAAACTAAGTAGTCAGGACTTAAATTTTTAGATCATGTGATAGACACCTAATAACTTTTTAAGCCAGTGTTTTATTGATAGACAAAAATGCACCTACTTTAAGGGCACATTTTGATGAACTTTGACAAACTTACACACACTTATAATTATCACCCCGATAGAACACTTGCATCAACCCATAGTTTCTAGGGCCTCCTTTCAGTGAACTTCTCACCCTCACCCCTAGCCCTGTCAATCTATCTGATCTCTGTCATTATAGCATTTGTATTTTCAGTATTTCATGTAAGTGGAATCATACAATGTGCACTCTTTTGTGTCTGACTTCTATCCATCAGTATAATTAAAAAACATCCATAGCCGGGCTCGGTGGCTCAGCCTGTAATCCCACGCCGTGGGAGGCTGAGGTGAGTGGATTGCCTGAGCCCACGGGTTCGAGACCCGACTGGGCAACTTGGTGAGACCTCATCTCTACAATAAATTAGCTGGGTGTGGTAGCGCGCACCTGTAGTTCCAGCTACTTGGAAGGCTGAGGTGAAAGGATCACCGGAGCCCAGCAGGTCGAGGCTGTGGTGGCCGGGAGCGGCCACTGTACTCCAGTCTGGGCAACAGAGTGAGACTCCAACTCAAAAAAACAAACAAACAAAAATCCATGTGGTAGCATGTGTCAGTAATTCATTCATTTTTATTACTGAGTAGTGTTCCATTGTAGGGATATACTAAAATTTGTTTATCCATTTATCTGTTGATGGACATTTGAATTGTGTCTAGTTTTGGGCATTTGCACATAAGTTTGCTATGAATATGTCTTTGTTTCTCTTGGATTAATCTCCTGAAGAAATTGCTGTGTCTTATGGTAAGTATATGTTTAACTTTATGAGAAACTGCCAAACTGTTTTCCAAAGTGCTTGTAACCCTTTTTTATCCCCGCCAGCAATGTATAAGAGTTCTAATTGTTCACCAATACTTGGTATTGCCACTTCTCTTATATTTGCAGTTTTAATTACAAGGATTATAATTCAAAATAGTTGACTTTGCTCCTTTGTAATTGGGCAGCGGAATACTTCTCTGACTCTTGGAATGCTGTTGACTGACTCCTCATTTTGATGCCAGCAGGGACTGTTTCACTGAGTCTGTAATGTACCTGAGCCTGCTTCTTTGAATTTGCATTTTGTTCTCCCAACAGAGCCATTTTCCCTCGCCAGGTGTAGGTGATTTCTTGTCAGATCTGAAACTTTTGCAGAATCGAAGCCACAGAAAAGAGTGTTTACTCCTCTGTAGTGTTTGAAGGAGGTAGAAGCAAAGCGTTTCCACCCAGTGGAAGCAGTTAGGAATTTTGCATCTAACCCATTTTTGTTCCAGTCCTTTCAGGAGACAGAGTGAAGCCAGTCTCCCTTGTTCTTGTTATGTGTCTGGACCTTGATGTTCATTTCCTCATTCTCTCTTCCTAGGCTCTTCTTGGTCTTGGCAAAACCCAAAGACCTTTCTTAAAGAAATCTATAGTCAGAACTTTATGCTGCATTTTTACTCAGGAAAGGAACAGAAAGAGAAGGGCATTATCTCCTAGGAATTCAGCACTGGAGAGACGTGAGTCCGATTTATCTTTTGTTTTGTTTGTTGTTATTGTTAATGTTTTTTATGCATTTTGTTGTTATTTGTTCACCCATCACTTGCAGTTTCCTCTTCACCTGAATTTTACTTTTTTTTGTTTTGTTTTTTTGAGTTGGAGTCTCACTCTGTCGCCCAGACTGGAGTGCAGTGGCCGCTCCCGGCCACTGCAACCTCGACCTGCTGGGCTCCGGTGATCCTTCCGACTAGCCAGAATTACAGGCACCACGCCCGGCTGATTTTTTTTTTATTGTAGAGATGAGGTCTCACCAAGTTGCCCAGGCGGGTCTCGAACCCGCGGGCTCAGGCCATCCACTCACCTCAGCCTCCCAAAGCGCGGGATGACAGGCTGAGCCACCGAGCCCGGCTTTCACCTGAATTTTAAAAATTGCTGTAGACTATGTGGCATGCATCAAATCTCAGATTCCCAGAAGAATTACTTTTTGTTGTTGTTGTTGTTGTTAATCATAAAATATAGTATAAGTGCATTGGCCAGAGACCTCTAACCCTGGCTACAGGGAGGGTCTTTGACTTTCCTCTGTTTCAGAAACTTCTCAGAATATATTGTGTGCTATTTCAGTGTCCAGGACACCTGAACAGACTCACTCCCACTACCAAAGCGGAATAAGCTTTGTTCTCTCAACTGTGCGTGACCTCCATGACCTCTGTACTGGCTTTTATCCATTTTTACACAGGTGAAGATAAGAAGTCAATCCTAGCAAAAGGTGAAGGACATAAGATGATATTAGATGCCTCTTGTAGGATATGTAGATGGAGAAATCGGGAGTTTGTTTGGGCAAGGAAGTTTTTTCCTCTTATCCAAAATCAGGCCACCCGAGGCTGGCCTGGAAGAAAAATCTGCTTTTGTACTTTGGAACTGGGGGTGAGAAGGACTTGTCAGTAGTGGCTTAAAAAAAAAATCAGTTGGACCTTTGCTTGCCTAAGATGGACAGTTGGGGGTCAGCCAGGCAGGAGCCCTGTTCCAAGCTGCAGAAGACAGAGGCCGAGATTGGACCTGAGAGCTATTATGTCTGAGCATAGACCCTTCCACCGGGATTTCTTCCACTCCCAGTTGTGTCTGCTCCCTCCCAGATGTGAAGACTCTAGAGTTCATTCCTGCAACGATTTTTCTTTGTGTGGAATTCTAATGTACACAGTTTACTTTGAAGCAACTGAACTTACTCAGCAGATTTTTTTCCCCTATAGCTTTAAGAGTTTTCAGAAAACATAACTTGAGAGTCACTCCTGGTGGAGACAATGAAAAAGAGAGGGAATTGGACGTGAGTAAAAAAGAAGAGCATTTTACAGTGCAGGCTGGGAACAGCTAAAGGAAGCTGAGGCCAAGTTTGCTGTGCTGCTTAATCAAGCAGGGAGGGAGTTGTAACCTTTGTCACCCAAGGAGTGAAGGGCATATACGCTGGGATGAGTGTTTCATGGTGGGAGTTGAGGTCATTTATTCCAGCATGGTCTCCTAGGGAGGGCGTGGGGAAAGAATCAGTCTTCCAAGTAAACTGAACGTAAGATTTGCCTCAAACATTTTATTTTCTCAGTCTTTCAGACCACATTACAAGCCAGGAGACAGGCGTCAAGAATTCGGAGCCATAAGTCAGGATTGGTGTTCAGTTGGGGATGTGAAAATCAGTCCTCATGTTATTTGAGGAAATGTACATTTCATATTCATGACTGATGGTCTTGTTGAAAGCTACCACTGGTATCATGGTTGGAAGGAAGCTCAAGTACCTGGTTTTTAAAATATACACAATAATTACTTGTCTGATTGTCTCAACAAGACTGGAAGCCTCTTGAAGACCGTGCTTATTTGTTCCTCTCTCAGGTCTTGTGTTAGGTCCTGGGAACGGGCTGTCTTCTTATTAAATAAGCTGACGGGCTTTGGGTGCCTGTCAGTCATTCTCAGGAATATTGCCCATTCTTAGTTATGTTGCACATTCTGTTTTTTTGAGTTGGAGTCTCACTCCATCACCCAGGCTGGAGGGCAGTGGCACACTCACGGCCACCCCAGCCTCGACCTATGGGCTCAGGCAATCCTTCTGCCTCAGCCTTCTAAGTAGCCAGAACCACAGGCGCGTGCTACCATGCCCAGCTAATTTTTTCGATTTACTGTAGAGATGAGGTCTCGCCAAGTTGCCCAGGCTGGTCTCGAACCCGTGGGCTCAGGCAATCCACTCACCTCAGCCTCCCAAAGTGCTGGGATTACAGGCTGAGCCACCAAGCCTGGCCCCTGCACATTCTTAAAATGTAACTTAGCCCGTCCCGTTGATCTCATTTTATCTCCTTTTACATCATTTGTTTCTTCCTGGCTTCTTTTCCACTCACCTGTGGTTCATTCTCCATGCTCAGTGGAATTGTACTGCATTAAGCACTGCTTCTCTGCTCCTAGATCTACTGTCTCCTGGGCTGGCTAGTGAGCCTTCCTGGCCATGTAATATGCATTAGGTTGATTCCTTCTGGACCAGAGCTAAATGGGCTGTTTTTGAGCCAAAAAGAGAGGAGGATATGGAGCTCCCTGGAGTTCTCTGACCTGGTGGGAGCTTGATGATTTATGAAACCTATTTCTTTCCTATCTGCTGGTCTCCCAAGAAACGCATAGCCTTTCTTCTTTCACTGTTAGTAAATTATCACGCACTGTGTTGTTGTTCGGTTAGCAGAACTTTGGTCTGAATTCCTGACAAAAATCTTCGACATTTTCGCGGTACATTTTAGGTTCTTATCAGTGCCTAACCTTATTTAGTTCTGCTTAATTCATGTGCCCCTTCTAAGTTGTCTCTGTGCATTTGAGATGCCAGACTTCGTTCTTCATCCATCATTGTGACCTTGGGTAGAGCCAATGGAGGTTGAACGTCCTCGTACCTCCATAGTTAATCTGCAAAATGGACATATTAATATCATTTCTGCAGGAAGGTATGGAACCAGACCCAGATGATAGTTCTCAGGTTTCTCTCAACCTCAGAACATATGATGCTGATTCTGTCTCATGGATATAGTCATCATGGCAGGCTAACAGTACACTGCATTAGAACTGTTTTATTGAGAACAATAGTCTATTAAATTTCTTGCTGAGTTCTCAATACCTGCTTAGATTCAAGGGTCTAATTCATGAAACATTTAACTGACACCTGCTGGGTACTGGATGCTGAGATAGGAAGATAATTCATTTAGTCAAGGGCTTGTCCTGAAGACGCTCACATTATAGAAGAGGAATGGGAGTGATTAATGGATTTTCTGGGTGGGGGAGGGAGGAAATAGTGTAGTATATGGGAGGTCATTTGATATGCACTTTGAAGAATAAATTGGAGTTTCCCCATGACTTGGTGAATGTGGTGATTCCAGGCAGAGGGAGTAGCATTTGCAAAGGTGTAGAGGAATACAAAAACATGGCATATATAAGGAACAAATCCTTTGTATTTCTTGATCATAAATTGTACGTGTGTGTGCTTATGTGAGTGTGTGTGTGTGCATGTGTGCTTGTGGGAGTAGTGTGGAATGAGGTTGGTGAAATACATAGGAGCCAAATCATGAAGGGTGTTAATGAATAATAGAGATGTTAGGTTAATCTATATGCTGATGATGAAGAATGGATTAGCAAGGACATCATCTCAAAGTCTAATGTGATTACATCTTCATCTGATTTGATTCTGGAGTAGTTTGTGATTACTTAGTAGGCAAACCTGAATACAGGCAGGTACAAATGAGCATGTTTTTAAAAAGAGTTTTACCTTTTAGAAATATATAGAAATATTGTATACTGTATTGTATGCAGAAACATTTTTGGATGAAATGATATGATTTGCCTTGAGATAATGAGGGAAATGGAAGTACGGGGCGGTTGATGAGGCAGGATTAGCTATGATTGTTAAAGTAGGGTGATGACTACCTGAGGGTTCTTGTATTCATTCTCTCTATTTTTGTATGTATTTGAAATTTTCTGCAATAAAAATTTTTAAACGGTTAGTGTGGATATCTGTCTATGCTATTCATAAGTTTATCATTTTGTTTACTCACTCAACCCTTAGAAATTGAACATCTACTCAAAATAGGTGTTTCGGGAAAGTTTGGATCATAGTATCAGGATCTAAAAGTGGAAATGACAGGCACATAAATAAGTTGAAGATAAGTTGGAGTATTGTGAATTGCATATATTAAAAACAGGTTTACCTCCAGCTGAGGGGAATCAGGGAAGACTTTGTTGCGAAGATGGCATTTAAACTTTAATCATTCACTTAAATTGATAAATAGGATTGAGCCCTACTGTGTGCCAGGTACTGTTCTCAGCTCTAAGGTCCAGCAGTGAATGGAGCAGATAAAGATTCCCACGCTTGTGAAACTTTCATCCTATTAAGGAGAGATAAACAATAAATAGTAAGCATAATAAGTACATTTTATTGTACATTGGATGTTACAGAAAAAAGAGTAGTAGTGAGGGAGAGCAGTAATGTTGGAGGTGAGGACAGCAGTGATAGGGTGCAGGGTTGGCTCATTGAAGAAGGTGATGTTTGACCAAACTTTTAGAGGTAAGGGAGTTGACCAAGAGGATCCAGTATTCCCAAGGGCAGGGCTAAGCAAAGGCCCTAGGTGGGGCACCTCTCTGCTGCATTTCCTGGCGCAGTTGGGGTGGAGAGAGCAGAGCGGAAAAGGGTAGAAACTGAGGTCAGAGATATAACAGGGAAGGGGAGGTGGCTGGTGGTGGTAGAGTGCTGGGTTGAGGGGTGGATCTTATGTGCAATCTTAATTTTTGCTTTTACTTTTAGTAAAATGAGGAGCCACTGGAGGGTTCTGAGCCAGAGGTATGACATGCTCTAACTTACAGATTACAGCATTCATTCTGGCTGTTACTTTAAGAACAAATACTGGGGTGGAGGCTGGGCATGGTGGCTCACACCTGTATTCCCAGCACTTTGGGAGGCTAACGGAGAACTGCTTGAGCCCAGGAGTTCAAGAGCAGCCTGGGCAACATGGCGAGACCTTATCACTACAAATATCAAAAAATTAGCCGGGCGTGTTGGCATTTGCCTGTAGTCCCAGCTATTCAGATGGCTGAGGCGAAAGGATCACCTGAGCCCAGAAGGTTGAGGCTGTGGTGAGCTGTGAGCGTGCCGCTGTACTCTTGTCTGGACTCCAACCCAAAAGCAAGCAAAAAACCAAAAAAACTGAGGTGGGGACCTTTTGGTGCAAGAAACATTGGTGACTCAGGCTAGAGTGACAGCAGTGAGTGTGGTGAGCAGATTTTGGTTAGATTTTAAAGGGAGAATTGACAGGATTTCTCTAAAGATAGTGTGTGGCTTGAGAGAAGGGAGATGTCAAAGATGAGTGGACTGAAGTTTCCATCAAGGAGAGAGAAGGAAAGCTACAAGAATGGTAGTTTGAGGTGAGGAGGAGGGACGATGAACTCCATTGTGGACATGTTAAGTTTAGGATGTTGGTTTCCTAAACATCTAAGTGAGGGTCAGGCAGGTAGTTGGAGTTTTAAGTTTGGGAGAGAGAACTGAGCTCCCTGATTTTCATTTACATGGTAGCTCATGCCTATAATCCCAGCACTTTGGGAGGCTGAGGTAGGAGAATCACATGAACCCAGGAGTTTGAGACCAGCCTAGGCAACATAGCGAGACCTTATCTCTACAAAAAATAAAAAAATAAAAAAATTAGCTGGGCATGGTGGCATGTGCCTGTAGTCCCAGCTACTTAGGAGACTGAGGAGAGAGGATCACCTGAGCTCAAGAGATTAAGGCTATGGTAAGCCGTGATTGTGCCACTGTACTCCAGCCTGGGTGACAGAGTGGGATCCCAGGTCAAAAAAATAAAAATAAAAAAAGAGAACAGCTGGGCTCGGTGGCTCAGCCTGTAATCCCGCTCCTTTGGGAGGCTGAGGTGAGTGGATTGCCTGAGCCCGCGGGTTCGAGACCCGCCTGGGCAGCGAGACCTCATCTCTACAGTAAATCAAAAAATCAGCCGGGCGTGGTAGCGCGTGCCTGTAATTCCGGCTACTCGGAAGGCTGAGGCGGAAGGATCGCCGGAGCCCAGCAGGTCGAGGCTGCGGTGGCCGGGAGCGGCCACTGCACTCCAGCCAGGGCAAGGAGTGAGACTCCAACTCAAAAAAAAAAAAGAGAACAGAAAGGAGCCGACCTGCAAAGGAACTCAGCCTCTAAAAGGGAACAGTGTGAACCTAGGAAGCCAGTCCTCTAGACGGAGGCATCAGCTTGAACAAGAGTGTGGTGGTAGGAAACAAAGCAGGTTGTAGATGTGTAGTAGCATATATGTTTAGTGTTATGTATTTATTATAGTTTTCTATTGAATGGAGACTTCATTTACATTTAGGTGGATAATCGTGCATAGTATACCATTCTAAACAAACTGAATTCTTGAATTTGCCCTCACTTCCCCCTTTTTAGTGGGTCTCCAGTGAACATCTGGCTATTATCTGGAATACTCTCTTATAAGGGCTCAAAACTTGGGTTGGCAACTTCTTTCTGTAAAGGATCAGATAGTAAATATTTTAGGCTCCGCAAGCCATCTGGTCTCAGCTGTAGAAGCACAGAAGCAGCTATAGACACAAGAACACATGAACATGGTTGTGTTCCAATAAAGATTTATTTGTGTATACTGAAATTTGAAATTCATATAATTTTTACACGTTACAAAATATTATTCTTCTATTGGTTTTTTCCCCAGCTGTTTAAAATGTAAAAGTCATTTTTACTTTGTGGGCCATATAAAAACAGGTGTCAGCTTAAATGATTTTTTTTTTTTTTTACTTTGTTTTGTTTGTTTGTTTGCTTGTTTGTTTTGAGTTGGAGTCTCACTCCGTTGCTCAGGCTAGAGTGCATTGGCACACTCACCGCCACCCCAGTGTCGACCTGCTGGGCTCCAGTGATCCTTCCACGCCAGCCTTCCAAGTAGCCAGAACTATAGGCATGCTCTACCATGCCCAGTTAATTTTTTTATTTAATTTTAGAGATGAGGTCTCACCATGTTGCTCAAGCTGGTCTCAAATCTGTGGGCTCAGGCAATCCTCTCACCTCAGCCTCTGAAAGTGCTGGGATTATAGGCTTGAGCCACTGTGCCCGGCCTCCAGGTTAACTTTGAACCAGATTATTCTGTCAACTGCATTGGCTGGAAATCATTTATGAAGTGGGGTGGCCAGTTCCTTTGAGTCTGTTTTTAGCCACAGTCTATTCTAAATATAGATTATTTGCATCATCTGTGTGGCCTTGTACCAGACATATTAGTCTCTCTGATGGGCAGCTGGTCTAGGTAACCTTTAGGATCCCTTTCACCCTGATTCTAATCCCATGATTTTCTTTCTGTCTTTTTTATTTATTTTAAGTTTTCAAGCACAGTTTATTTAGAAAATAAATGAGGGACAACCTCTTTCAGGTCCCCTCCCACTGTGGGAGATTTTCTGTCTTCTTAATAAATAGTACTTAAAGAAAAAAAAGAAAGTAAGTAAATGAGAGAGAGAGAGAGAGAGAGTAGGGGAGGGAGCCAAAGTTAAAAAGACATGGTGCCGGGCTCCGTGGCTCAGCCTATAATCTCGCACCTTTGGGAGGGTCAGGTGAGTGGATTGCCTGAGCCTGCGGGTTCAAGACCCTCCTGGGCAACTTGACGAGACCTCATCTTTACTATAAATTAAAAATTAGCCAGGCATGGTAGCGCGTGCCTGTAGTTCCAGCTACTTGGAAGGCTGAGGCGGAAGGATTGCCGGGCCCAGCTGGTCGAGGCTGCGGTGGTCGGGAGCGGCCACTCCACTCCAGTCTGGGAGACACAGTGAGACTCCAACTCAAAAAAAAAAAAAGAAAAGAAAACATGGCAACCACAGCTCAAAGAGCCACATGGATACAACCAGAGTTTAACAGAGCAATGGGCTCGTCCTATGATTTTCTTAAAAACAAAACCAAATTCTTTTTGAAATTCTGTTAACTCCTTAGCTTTCATAACAGTGTGCCTTCCAGAGTTTCTTCCTGTGACCTCTTCTTTTCATCCGCCTTCCAAGGCTCATCGTGCACAGGTGGCGGTCCTGCAGGCTCTGTGCCTACCCTTCTTTTCCCCCTCCCTCTGCTCTCCCTGGTTACTTGAATCAGACCATGTCTTCAGCTACCATCTCTACGTTGGCAACCAACAAATGTGTATGTTTAGCTCTGACCTCTCTCCCGAGGCTTAAAGCCTTTCAAGGTTTTTCATTACCTAGAAGGTAAAATCAAAGCTCCTTAGCCTGGCCTTAGCTCCTCTTGGTCTGAACGCTGTGGGCACTGCCAGGCAGCTGGGCTGAGCCACTAGGCAGCTTCCAGCAGCAGGTCAGCTGCTTATTCTTTCTCCCTGTCTCTGCTCAATGCCTTTCCCTCTGCTATCATGACCTTCTCTCGTTGTCTCTCCTCCTCGCTCCATTCCCAGAACACACCAAATCGGTGCCCTGCCCCTCAGAGGGCTGCTTACCTGTTGAGATTTGGTTCAAATGCCTGTGCCTCCGTGAGGCTCTGTTTCATAGACAACGTGAAACATTTTCTCTGTGTGCCCACAGTGTCTTATGAACATCAATAATTGAATATTGGCTCAGCATCAAATGTACGTACAAGTTGGTACCTTCACTAGACAGAAGTGAAGGTAGAGTTTGGGTCCCACTTGTTTTTGTAACCCAGAGTCTGGCATTTAGAAAGTGCTTACTCTGTGTTGAATGAATCCATGGGTAGCGCACTGACTTTGGTACAAATCAAAGTAAGTTGGCTTTAGTAGGCAAAGTTGAATCTTTTTATAATTCTGTTTTGTGCCTTTAAATAAACTTATCTTTTTCTCTTGTAGGAGGAAAATTCTTCCAAGGATGGTCTCCCACTCAGAGTTGAGGAAACTTTTCTGTTCAGCAGATGCAGTGTGTTTTGATGTTGATAGCACAGTCATCAGAGAAGAAGGAATTGATGAGCTGGCCAAAATCTGTGGAGTTGAGGATGCAGTGTCAGAAATGTAGGAACAGTATTTTACTTTACGAAACGATAAAGAGTTTCAAAAGAGAGACTGGGCTGGATGAAATGCTAGACCAGAGCCACAATTCTTGGATTTTAGTGCCAGGCTATAAAACATGGATGCTAGACTTTTTCTTCCATCACTTGGAACTGAATTTGGTAGTGTACATTATCTATTCATCCATTTATATAAATATTTATGGAAAAAATATGGCTAAGACATGCTTTTAGCTTGGTCAGGGAAAAGACAACCATAACTAACTAAAGAAGATGGCCGGGGAAGGTGGCCGCCAAGTGTCCAGCACTTTGTGTTGTGGTTGAAAGCGTGGCCTTTGTGGTTCACTGGAAAGCTAGTTCTGGTTCAAAGTCTGAGTGGGTCCGGGGTCAGTGCCTCTCTCTTTCCTGCCCTCCCACTCTTAGCTGTGGCAACCCCCCTGCAGCCCAGTTGCCCGGTCATGGACCATTTAGTTTTCAGCTGCATTTGATGCGAGAGCGTCCAGGCTTTGGTTTCTTTCTTGGTTTACAAAAGCTCACAGCTTTCAAGAACGGTACCTATGGATAGGATGTATGGTTTTCCCAGATCACTGGATGGTGTATTTGTAGAAGCAAAGCACACGGCCACAAAATATGAACGTGATTCTCAACAGATCTTCAAAAGTATATTCCCAGGACGTGTTTGTTGTTCCCAGGGGCTCTTGGTAGCACCTTCCTCACAGTGGATGCTGTGAAGACCTGGAGCAGTAAGCATGTAAACTTTGAGGACAGCTGACATGGCTGGCCTGACTGTTGGGTCTTCCTCCTAGGACACGGCGCGCCATGGGCGGGGCAGTCCCTTTCAAAGCTGCTCTCACAGAGCGCTTGGCGCTGATCCAGCCCTCCAGGGAACAGGTGCAAAAGCTCATAGCAGAGCGTCCCCCACACCTGACTCCTGGCATAAGGTAAGGGGAGTCCAAGTTCTGGTACACTGTCATCTCCCTATCAGCACCAGGGATTTGGGCACATCCTCCTGCGAGCATCTGTTACCTTAGAGCTCCCTCTGTATGGTTCGTTTGGCACTTCCATGTGGTCGTGTCTGGCTGGTTGTCTGGCCCTGCTGGTGTCTGCTGTCCTCCCTCCCTCCCTAGGGTGACCCTAAGCTTTCCCTGTGTATCTTTAGCATGTGTTTTTCTGGGTCTATGCACAGAACAGAGTTGCGGAATGGTTTCCAAAAGCAGTCAGGCCATACCCGTTAATTTCTAAATGCATTTAGAAAACTATACAAAACATGGGTGCTAAAATATATACAGATATCAATAATTATATTTATTAATATAAAACATTAATTCCCCAGGCAACATACCTTGTCAGCTGTACCTCAGGCAAATGCATGCAGGAGAAAAATACATATTTTTGTTTCCTATTTATGTTTCATTTTTTTCACTTCCGTATTAATCACTGCTTGGTGTTTTATATTTTATTTTTGCAGGGAGCTGGTAAGTCGCCTACAGGAGCGAAATGTTCAGGTTTTCCTAATATCTGGTGGCTTTAGGAGTATTGTAGAGCACGTTGCTGCAAAGCTCAATATCCCAGCAACGAATGTATTTGCCAATAGGCTGAAATTCTACTTTAATGGTAAGACCTTAATGATAACACATTCCTTATCTGTTTTATTATTCACTATACTTGGTCATGTCTGGTGGATTGCAACTCAAGCAGGTTGGCATCAAAGTTAAATATTGAGCCGGGCTCGGTGGCTCAGCCTGTAATCCCACGCTTTTGGGAGGCTGAGGTGAGTGGATGGACTGAGCCTGCGGGTTCGAGACCCGCCTGGGCAGCGAGACCTCATCTCTACAATCAATCAAAAAATCAGCCGGGCGTGGTAGCGCATGCCTGTAATTCCGGCTACTTGGAAGGCTGAGGCGGAAGGATCGCCGGAGCCCAGCAGGTCGAGGCTGCAGTGGCCGGGAGTGGCCACTGCACTCCAGTCTGGGCCACAGAGTGAGACTCCAACTCAAAAATAAATAAATAAATAAATAAAGTTAGATATTGAGATGCATGATTCTCTTGACTAGGATCTTCTGCTCTTTGGTATCCTTTGCTTTGCAAAGTAGACCTAGGTCATCATCTATTCTAGCTTTAGCATCCATAGCCCCACCTATCTGTAGATGAGTGTCTGCATTCAGTGAAATGTTCATTCCTATGTAGCCCACATGACTTATTTTGTTATGTGTTATATTTCAATTCTTTGAGAGCTCTTCTGCGTTTGAAACCATTTAGACTCAAGAAGGAGAGTTTTGTTAATGGGTTACTGCACTCCAGCTGCCCTTGGGGAAGTGTACTATAGTCTAGACTGTAGCAGAGCCACAGCTAAAGTTTTATATCATCTCAAGAGGGCTCTAGTTATGCTAAGGGATGGCTGATATTCTTAAAACCAAGTTATATTTAAAGAATTTTTAATGTGTTAAATAGAACATTTTTGAAGGATCTCGATAGAGATCACAGAAAAAAGAAGTCAAGAATGAGTGTGGTAATTATTTAAGAACAGAAATAACTTATTGAAAATAAACTGGAATTGGGCTGGGCTCAGTGGCTTATACCTGTAATCCCAGCCCTTTGGGAGGCAGAGGCGGGAGGATCACTTGAGGCCAGGAGTTTGAGACCAGCCAGCGCTGTCTCTACAAAACAAAGTTGGGATTTTCTCCCAGGTGAAGGGATATATTCACATTTTAAATTTAATATATTGCTATTTGATGGTATTCTGCCACCTTAACAAGTTTGAGAATCACTATGCCGAAAGCTTAGAGAATAAAGTGAATTTACCCCAGTGTTTGTGACCCAATAGAGCCCCCCTACAGTAGGTATTTATAAGTTAAAAGCAAAGCTTGTTTATTCCTAAGAATGGGTATGGGATTCCAGGCTGTGTGGCTTCACTGAGGGCCATTTTTAGCCTTCTTGGCATTTAAATGAGGATATCATCTGTGCAGAAAACTGGCTCTAATGATACGCTTCTATAGATTTCTAACACTGTTCCAACTGCTCTTTTAAGGCGAATATGCAGGTTTTGATGAGACGCAGCCAACAGCCGAATCTGGTGGGAAAGGAAAAGTTATTAAACTTTTAAAGGAAAAATTTCATTTTAAGAAAATAGTCATGATTGGAGATGGAGCTACAGACATGGAAGCCTGTCCTCCTGCTGTATGTATGAAGGATACTAATTGTTTCTCAGGTTATACTTTTGTTTTAGACAGCTGATTTAGAACTATAAAGACTTATAACAGGGCCAGGCATGTTGGCTCAGGCCTGTAATTTCAACACTTTGGGAGACCGAGGCAGGAGGATTGCTTGAGCCCTGGAACTTGAGACCAGCTTGGACAATATAGTGAGACCTCATCTCTACAAAAAAAATTTAAAAATTAGCTGGGCATGGTGGTGCAGGCCTGTAGTCCCAGCTATTTGGGATGCTGAAATGGAAGGATCACCTGAGCCCAGGAGGTCGAGGCTGTGGTGAGCTGTGATTGTGCCACTGCACTCTAGCTTGGGTGACAGACTGAAACCCCCACTCAAAAAAAATCCCCCAAAACTGTTCATGACCCCTCGTCCCTGTAGTATGGCCTTTTAGCCCAAGTTTGTGGTCAATAAGATTTGACTTTTTCCCCCAGATAATATTATCAACAACTATTATAACCACAATTTGAAAGTCATTTTATATTTTATACACTATTTCCTCATACATTATGTCATTTAATCCTCATAACAGCCCTGTGAAGTAAAATGTTATCTTCTTTTTACTAATGGAGGAACTGAGGCTCGCTGAGCTTATATAACTTACAATAATGTATCAAAGCATTTTATTATGCTTTTTATTTTTATTTTTATTTTTTAGAGATAGGAAGAATCTCACTACATTGCCCAGGCTGCAGTTTAGTAGCACTATCATAGCTCATTGCAGTCCTGAATTCCTGGGCTCAAGCGATCCTCCTGCCTTAGTCTCCCAGGTGTCTGGGACTACAGATGTGTACCACCATGCCTAGCAGTATCAGAGCATTTTATTCCGAATTAATATTGTTTTCTAAGACTAGCAAGTATTTTATTTCTAAGCATTTTAAAATCAATGCAGGAAAAAATGCTGTATAGTGTGTCCTAAATATTAAATGTGTTCACGTCACAAAAGACTTTGCCCTTATTATGTCATTCTAACTTAAGAATGGGAGGCTGGGGTGATTGCCTGAGCCCGCGGGTTCGAGACCCGCCTGGGCAACTTGGCGAGACCTCGTCTCTACAATAAAATAAAAAATGAGCCAGGTGTGGTAGCGCGCGCCTGTAGTTTCAGCTACTTGGAAGGCTGAGGCGGTAGGATCGCCGGAGCCCAGCAGGTTGAGGCTGCGGGG